AGTTGTTGTACTTAAAGCCGCTCAAAGGAGAGCATGAACTGGCAACTTGGATGTTATGGGTAGTCTCCGACTTACAATGGTTCATTTAGTGACTGTTGAAGTTACAACAGCACTGAAAAAAGTCACTTATGACTGTTTTTTACACTTATGACTGTTATTGCATCCCCATGGTCACATGATCAACATTCAGACACTTGGCAACTGACTCATATTTATGACAATTGCAGGGATCGTGTGATCATCTTTTGCGAAGCTGTATTCACTTAACAACAGTGTTACTAACAACAATAGTGATTAATAATTGCAATGATTCATTTAACAACTGTGGCAAGAAAAGTTGTAAAATGGAGCAAAACTCACATAATTGTCTCACTTAGCAACAGAAATTTTGGGCTCAATTATGGCCGTAAGCCGAGGACTACCAGTATGTGCCAGCCTGAGAGGACAGCTGACAGTCCTGGAATTTCTATGGTAGCTCTTGCCACTTAAACCATTAATCAATTAATTCAGATTACTAAAGAAAGCACTTTTTCAGAAGTGCTGTCTTCTGTTCCAGTTCCAAATTTGCTGGATTTCATATTCCATAACTTTCCCTCTATCTTCTAATCAAATTTGTCTGGCAATAGGAATATATTGATGATATGAACTCAGATCCTTAAGTCATATGCTTTGTTTTCTGATTTTGCCTCTTGCCTCCTCCTCCTCCTCATTTGCATTTAGTATAGCCACTCCCCCCCTCTGAAAGACTTAGAGGTCAAGGATGTTTGATAAAATTCTACCACTAACAGCTTAACCATTGGATATTTTCTTCTTGGGTCCCAAGAGTCAAATGAAACCAACTGCCTAATTTATTCACTTAAGGCTAGGAAAATTCATGTCCAGTTGTCAAGGACATAAAGAACATTACTTTTAAAAAAAAAACCACAGTAAGATTCAGGATTGATGTTGCAAAGAAAATATAAAAAATTATTACCAGCACATCAAGAATTCATGTTCAAGCGATAGGTCATTCTATGAGCGTCTGCCTCTTATGCTTCAAGATTAAGACACAACTTTGATTCAGATGCTTTGCATGCTTATTGAGGTTTCCCAGGCTCTGTTTGAAGTTAAGACTCACTCACTCTGAAAATCCATCAAGAGTAAAAGAAACATAGGAAGGGCAATAGACCCAAATTAGCAGTAACCTTTTAAAGCATGGGAATGTTTCATTTCTCTGCTGAGAACTTTACCTAAGAAAAAGCATTATAACCCTTTTGATGTTAGAATCTTCCCCCCCCCCCTCCCTCTGTTGCATCCTTTTCCCGGCATTGTCTAAACAAAACTGCTAACTTGAAATGGATGAATATTTTATTTTCTATTTCTTCAACATCTTATGAACCAACGTTCTTCATCCTAATGCTTGTCAGATGCTCGGGACCATAGCTTTTAGAATCCCAAAAACCATGTAAATGTGCTCTCAACATGTAAGGAGAACACCAGGTCATGAGAAGCTGCTATATACTTTGGAAATATTCCTTGTCTTAGAGCAGAGGTCCCCAACATTTTGGGCACCAGGGACCAGTTATATGGAGAGAGTTTTTTCCATGGACCGGAGGGGGTGTGGTTTTGTGTGCTGCCTGAATCCTGTGGATAAGACTTTCCTTGTTTGTGCGGACTGGTTGCTGGCAAGCCGTGGCTTGCTGGTCTATGGACTGGGGGTTGGGGACCCCTGTCTTAGAGCGTAGCTGTCCCATAGAACCCATTTTATTTTGGATATTCATCTTTGCTTATTTCAGCCATAAACTCTATTACAAAAATATATTTTAGAAACAGTTGCTATAATTATTTTTCAATGAATCTGGAAGATGTTATTTATAGCTACGGCCCAAGAGATTGGTAGGCTAATTCCTAAAACTTGTTTATCCATTTATAGAATTAGTCAGGAAGTTTCTCCTTAGTTCTAGGTTGCTTCTCTCTTTTATTAGTTTCCATCCATTGCTTCTTGTCTTGCCTTCAGGTGCTTTGGAGAATAGCTTGAAATAGATAGAAACAACATTATATGTCCAGAATAAATGCTCATAATTTGAGATGAACACCCAATGGAATCGTATGGTTAACAATCTTATGGAATTTGAGGAGCAAAGGGTCCAACATACCTCTTGAGAAAGAATATTCTAGGGCAGAGGTGTCCAACTGGCAGCCCATGGGCCAGATGCATCATGTATAGGCCATGCCCACCCTAGCTCCACAGAGGCAAAAAAAATAACGATGCATCACGATACGTCATGTGACATGACCAAGTTTGACACCCATGTTCTAGGGAGTGCATGCTGTGCTGGAGAAGGTTGGCCAACTAGACCAACCACCATGCACTTCTGATGGGTAAATAATTGTTTGCAGAACCCCTCTTGATGTTCAGATTTTATTCCATACAGTATTAACCTTGTGAACTCTAAAGCTTCCTCCTTCCATTATGTATTAAAGATGGATAGTGATTAATATTTATATGTTACTTATATGTAAGGGTGTAGGTCTATACATATGTTGTATATAGTATGTTTTAAATGTGTGTTATGTATGTGTACACTTTAAGAGCAAGCAACTAAATTTCATTTTTAATGTGTGCCATGTGCTCACAGTAAAAATGACAATAAAGGTTACCTGTCTGTCTGTCTGTCTGTCTGTCAGATCACAGTGGCAGATTCAATTCAGGTAAAGCTGTGCCTGATATAACCCGGAACTACACCATAGTGAGTTTTAAAGGTGATGACTAGCACTTTGAATTGGACTCAGATGTTCACTTGGAGCCTATGCAGCAATCTCAAAATTTGTGCTATTTTGCAGAGATGGGCTTGGACCTCCAGCATTCTGGTTACTCCATTCTGCACAGCTGCAGATGCTAAGTCATCGTCAAAAGCACACTAACATACAGTACATTACTTACAGTAGCCCAGTTGAAGGCAGGAATCACTGTACCTAAGGTATCATGGACTAGGGGAAATCATAATTGGTGCATCAGCTGGACAAGGATTTTCCTGGCACAACTTTGATCTGCTGCTCTTGAACCTGAGTTCAAGAGGACCACCAAGTCATGAACTAACTTCTTAAAGAAGAACACTATTCATCCAAAGTAACTTCTAGGAATGGTGTTACAACATGCCCTAATGTTGGCCAAACAACTTTGTCCTGGAAGGTTGTAATTTGAGCTTGTTTCATCTCATCCAGGTCTTGACATCTTCAGCTTCAACAGCATTTATGGCACACTGTGGGGTGGCAAAGTACTCTTCACCCCAAACCACTACATACTTACCAGTGATTTCATATAAGCAGCAGAGGGTACTGAGCCCCAAATAACTTTAAACTGGAATAAGCAAGTGCTGGAGTTCTTCTTAATAATAATTACCAACTTGAACCACCCAATCAGTTGGGAGCAAAACTATCTTAAAGGGTACCCCAACTTTCAATTCTTGCAGGTGATATGAAAGGTACAATAATCAATAACATGCTGTTAATGCTGCTAAACAGCAAATGCTGCCAAGTAGACTAGCAGAACCAAAACACATACAACTTGCCCACCTATGTTCTAACCAAAATTATCAACCAAAGTGCTCTATGTTGTTTTTATCCCAAATGAGACTGCACCAAATGCTAAATAGCAGGAATACAGATATAGGAGCCTCTATACTGGACTCATCACCACATTCTCAGTGACTTTCCACAAAAAAAAGAGGTAGGGAAGAAGTTGTCAATGTTGACTAAATCAAGGAAGGACCTTTTCAAAATACCGAGATTAGTGTTAGGTACTATCTTCTTCAAAATCTATTTTTTTTAAAAAAAAGAATCCTTTATTGCTCCTTTGCTATGAAAAAAATGTACTTCATTTGAAGGGTTGTTTCAAATTTCTATTTTCTAAATTTTTCTAAATTTATTTTGTTCAACAGATTTCAGGGACACATTCTAATGACTTTTCTGATTATTCATGCTGATGGATTTTTGGATTTTGTGATCTATTTTCTGACATATATATCTTTTAAGTTAGAACTATTATTGTAGTTTTGAGTGATCCCACAAGTGTTCTAGAGAAATTTGATTTTCTTGATTTACCCTCTCAGCTTTCCATTTTAACTAAGAATTAACTTAAGACACAATTATGACTGTGTTAGACTGCCGTAACCAAAGTTCTTCTAACATGTAACGTAAATTTGATACTGCTGCTGTTATCAAAATTCACAGCTCTACTTAAAATCAAAACTTTGGGGCAACTGCAGACCTATTTCCCCTAAATCCCTTAAGGGAAGACATAGCAACTTTTTCAGATCTGCAACACCTGGTTAAGGCAGTCTAACACAGTAATAATTGTGTCTTAAGTTAATTCTTAGTTAAAATGGAAAGCTGAGAGGGTAAATCAAGAAAATCAAATTTCTCTAGAACACTTGTGGGATCACTCACAACTACAGTAATAGTTCTAACTTAAAACAAAAAAAAAACAACCCAAACCCAGACAAATCTCACTAGTTTTCAGTAAATGAAATTTCACGTGAGACTCCTGAAATTTCACAGGACTAATATAAGAGGTCACAAGATGCTCATAGAACATGCTCGTAGAACATCTTTGGGATTATTTCAGATTTTAATCTTTAAATAGTAATATTAGGAATCGTGATGATTACATTTAGTCGCAGGGGTAGTCAACCTTAGCTCTTTTATGACTCGTGGACTTCAACTCCCAGAATTCCTGAGCCAGCTGGCTCAGGAATTCTGGGAGTTGAAGTCCACGAGTCAAAAGAGCCAAGGTTGACTACCTCTGGTTTAGTGGATTGTGGATGTTGTGGCATTTGGAAAGATGGGTGCAGTATTTATCACTCCTGTCTCAACACCCTGCAACGCAGTGCATGCTCAGCAAAGCCAGCCAAAAGGCTGGCCTTGCCCCTGGAGAACTCTTACTATTGCCTGGGAAATGCCTGATTCAGTTCAGATTCATGTATTAGCTTTCATTAATGCCTGTGGCTTCTGTCTTTCAGGGTCAACCGGCAAGTGCATGTTCCTTCCTACGTCGTGTGTGCTGTGCAGCTTTACCCCTCCAGTTGCTGCTGTTGCTTCTGCTACTCCTTGCCTTTCTGCTCCCTCTAGCAGAGGAGAGCCACAGTTGCAAGCTTACCAACAACTTTGCACACTCCTTCAACTTAATGCTGAGACATGATCGCCCACCGCCAATTTAAGTTCTCCTCACCTGCAGTGCAGCTAAGTTGACAGATTGCATTTTCCCCACTGGTTTTCCCCTGCAGATCTTTATCTTGTATAACTCCTTCCAGAATCATGGCAACTGCTAAGGAGTCCATTTAAACTGGAAATTTGGTTAAATGACCGCCATTATCCAATGTATGCTCAGGCTGGAGAAATGAAGTATTCATATTTAGAGCTAAAACATGTTTTTTAAAATATATGGCTATATTTATATTGTATATATGATTTATATATATATATATATATATATATATATATATATATATATATATATATATATATATATATATATATATATATATATATATATATATATATATATATATATATATATATATATATATATATATATATATAAAATATCCTGACAACAGTGTTTTCAACAAATCCTGCTCTTTATTTGAGTATGTCTTTGTTGAAAAATAGTCTGTGTTAAGCACAAAAATAAAAAGAATAATATAAGAAGGTATGAAAAATGGCTTACCACCCAAAAGTAGCAGCAGCCATGTGTCGTTCTCCTTCCTGTGTTTTTACATACATCATGCTTTGTTTGCCGATTGAAAAAAGGTAATTGATTAATTTAGCCAATTAACTCCTTATTGAATCTATATAATATGTATAATCCAGATGTGGATTTTCTACCCAACCCTTCCCATTGATCACCATGGCTGTTGCTAATAGGATATTCATCTGACAAAATACAGATGTATTCGAAGCCCTGTATGCAAAGATGCATACATAAGCTGGAGAAGGCCTTCACTTATATCCTGGGAAGGGAATGAGGGATGCCTCTTTTAATATGCCACTTGCCCTCTGCAGATTTTATGTGTGCCTGTATGAGAAACAGTATATTTTTAAAAAATCTCCTGTCCAGATAATTGTAATTGATTATCGTTAAAGGGATAATCACTCAGTGATAAATAACATTTTGTATGCAAAGGATTCCAGCTGCTATCTATAGCATTGAAGTTTGGGTTTGTTTGAATCTCTGGAGATTTGCTACAGAAAACATTGCACTAAATGGTCCAGTGGTCTGAATAAATATGTTGCTGCTTCCTATTTCCCCATATTCATTGGTTAATGTCACCCCACTGATCATGTGTCTTGCATTGTGGCAGTTTCCAATATCCTCATCTCACATCTTTTTATGTGTACACCTTACTAGCAGAAAGCGGAAGCCATGATGGAGTTGCCCTTTGGATCCCAACCATGATGGATTTTTTAATCATATCTCATTATACTTAATGCTGAAATAGAGTGAAAACAACAAAATTAACAAGGGATTCCTTCTTAAATTCCCTTGTTAATTTTATATGATAACAAAAATGCAGAAGCAAATGGCATGCAGTCATAAAAATAAAAATAAATTTTAAAAATCAGGGTGGTTCTTTGGACCAGCCATTCTCTCTCAGCCCAACCAACCCTGGTCATATTCCCCAAGAGCAAGTATTAGATGACATAAAACCTCTGATCTTCAGGGTGGCATATAGTCAGCATAATTAGTAGTTATGAAAATCTTATTTGTCCCATCAGCTTATCTGATCCCTTTTCTACAAGCTGTAAGTGATGAGACTTAGATTCACGTCAGTGAAACAGTTTACACTGCAGAGACAATATGATTCATTCCATCAAAACTGAAGTGAATCATGACCTGGACTGCCTCAACAAAACCATTTGGGTGGCCTCCTACCACATAGGCCAGTTTGCAGGAGAAGATTCTTCCCAATTTTTTCTCAACAGAACAGTTCCTAAGACAGGCAGTTTTGGGATTACTCACATTGTACCTCAGAGCTTCCTGGCTTAGAAGACCTCAATGTTGGGGTTCTGGAAAATAGTTTGGATAAGACAAGCACCATGTTCTCAGGATCACTCATCTTTTCCTTTGGGAAGTGTTGCAGAGGAGACATCAGTTACCTCCTTGAACCTACATGCACGAAATATCTGGCCAACTATCAAATGATCACACTTGAATGGGCTCCAGGTTGACTGCTTTGGATGCACACTACAATCAATCACAGCATTCATTGAAACTGCCATACTAAGAAGCCCTTGAGCAGTATAGTGGGAGAAAGCTCCTTTCGGTCTTCCCCTGTAGCACTACCACAAGGAACTCCTCTCAACCTTCTACCACAGACAAAACTCTGTAGGAGATTGCTGAAAGGTGGTACACAGTATGGTGAGATAAACCAACATGGTTGCTTCACTCTTAGAACTATTAGGACCACATTGCTTTCCAAAGGTGCTTTATGAAAATCTCTATTGAAGTTACATAGCTCTACTTTCTCCATTTTGTGGAAAGAAATGCCAACATAACTACACACTACATGAAAAAGGATTTATTTTTGTTTATTCTCAATTTCATACTATTCAGCTAGATCGGATGACTTGGAATTCTCCTAAATAGTAAACAGGCATTGAGAATATATATCTGATTGTTCCCCACAGCATAGTTAAATCAGAGGTGGCAAACTGTAGTTCAGATAGAATCATATAATGTGTTTTTAAATGTTCTGCCAAAGAGAGAGAAGTCAACTATAGTTTTATGGTGTATGTACTTTAGCTGGGCTCACACGTCATGCTAAATCATAGTGTGGTTTTCTTTGGTTTTTAGTTTACCATGTAAATCATGGTTTGTGGCTTGGCACAATTTGGTTTCTTCAAACAGCATTGTTAAAAAATGAAATAGCCGTGATTCACTGCACTGTATAAACCCGGTCAGTTTCTATAAATAAAATCAGCCTTCTGTTCCAGGTATATAACCCAGTAGAGGACCTATTCATTGCCTTCTTAAATCTTACAAAATATTAAATATGTTTGAACATGGTATGGATAGCACAGCTGGGACCCTGAGCCATATTCTGAATCTGCAAAGGCACTCCAATGTATCCAGGAGATACAGGAAAGCATGAAAAGGAGAGCAAGTGGACAGAATAGAGAAGAGGAACAATGCAGGAGGCAAATTGGTCGGCACAAAAGAAAAGTATAGTCCTGAGATACCCTCATAAAATAATTCTGTTAGTTCAAAACAGGGCTGCTGGCTTTCCAACATTTCAGTGGACCTCTGCCTTTCCCAGTAACATGACAGACATGTAGAGGTTAATGTTTTATCTCAAATACATGAAAAGCTTCATCTGCCAATTTCTACACTTCAAGTAGAGGAGTACAAGAGAAGGCAGGGCTGATTTTATTTATTTACATCCCACTTTTATTTTTATAAATCACCCAAGTTGAACATATCTAATGTTCCTTCTTCCTCCTATTTTCCCCACAACCATCCTGTGAGGTGAGTTGGGGTGAGAGAGTGTGACTGGCACAATGTCAACCGGTTGGCTTTCATGCCTAAGGTGAGACTAGAACAAATGGCTTCCTGGTTTCTAGTCTGATGCTTTAATCACTGCCATTTTTTTTTTCAGTTGTAGGCAAGACTCTGTTTCAGGGCCATTATAGGGTAGGTTGTTTCAGTCTACAGACTGATGTATTTGGCAGGATGCAGAATTACACCTGCAAAACAATGTTAGTAGCTGATTAGCCTTCTAACCTGTTACCAACATTAATGGAGTCCTCCAAGAAAAAATCCTTTTGCAGCTTGACTTGGTCCCCCAAGCCCCCCCCCCGAGCATGAAAAAATGCCTTGTGTACAATTGTGCAACAGATCCAAAGTCTCCAGCTTGTCTCTGTAAGTCTCCTAGAGTCCAGAAAGCAATAATATGACTTTCCCCTCAACTACACCTAACAGGCAGATCACATGAGATATTGTTCTAAGGAAGCAGGTGATAGAATGTAGGAAAATTTTGTTCAGCTGACTTCAACCCTAATTCAACGAAGAAGCTAATTTACCTTTCAGTAATTCCCTAGATAACACTTAGCTATTGCAGTTAATGTTTTGCTTAATGTACTATGTGGTTTACAAACCATGATTTCTGGTTTAGTATGTTGGCCAAAGCTATTTATGTTTTATTCAGTATACCGCAACTGTGGCTTAGTACAGGGATCTCCAACCCCCAGTCCGTGGACCGGTACCGGGCCGCAGAATGGCAGCAACCGGTCTGCACAAATAAGCAAAGCCCCATCTGTGGGATGCAGGCAATACACAAAACCAAGCACCCTCCAGTCCATGGAAAAACCTCTCTCCACGGAACCGGTCCCTGGTGCCGAAAAAGGTTGAGGACCTCTGGCTTAGTATATGTGAGAACCCAGCTGATGTTCCACACACATCTATTAGTAAGGTTTTCTGCAAAGGAAAGTCCCAGATATTCCTATTAGAAGGATGTATGGATCTCCTATGAAAAATAATGGTTGCATTCTGTGAATATGTGCCATCAAAAGCCATCTGGGGAAAGGGAAAAAAAGTCTTATGTGACTCTCCCTCCAGTCTGTACAAAGCTTGTGTTTGCAAGAAAACTCACTGTATCCATTGTTAACAAGAACAACAAACAAGACCAGCTGCGGCACATTCAGTCTGAAGGCTTAGAGTCTAAAGCAAAAGGGGTATTACTAGTTCAATGGCAATTCCAATCTTTTACCTTAAATACAGAAATAAGTATTGAAATTAAGAGTTAGCTGAAAAATGGGAATTGGCCACTCTTCAGTGCACACTAATTTATAATATGTCTTAGAGCCTGTTACTTTTTGGATAGATTATTATTATTAGAGGTAGACCTGAACTGAGACATCATTCAGATGAGTTCACGTATTTTTCTCTCCAACTTTGCACGGAGATGCATTTCTCTTTTGTGATTCAAAATATTTATGGGGATAAAATTGCATTTCCTGAAGTTCCAGGGAATGCAAATATATGAAAAGCAACATTTATACCTGATTTGTTATAACCATTTAATCCATGTTTTGAATGCTAAATCATTTGACAGGATGCCTGCTAGTTGAATAAGCAAACTGCATAAACAGCCCAATATAAAAACTGATTCCGGTCTTGGGAATAACAAAAGAGAAAAATGTCATTCTGCTTCATATCCACGTATGGTTCTAGTCAGCTATTCTGACTTTATTAAATATTAGTGAGGCCGAAACTTACAGTGAAGAAATTGTGCTTTCCCCTGTGAAAAACACTCTGAAACAACATAGCCTGGTTTGCATGTTCAGAAAGGTTGACAATCGGTTGTCTTCTTAACATTTTTATTAACCATTCCCACATAGACTGGGATTGGCAAATGTTGATCCACCAGGGGGTGCCAGGCTGTCTCTCTGGCAGAAGA